TGTAATAATATATATGTATTTTATATATAAATAATATGTATATAATATATAATAAGTTATCTGTGTGTGTATATAATTTTGTTTAAGTAGGCTCTACACCCAGAGTAGGGCTTGAACTCATAACCCCAAAGTCAAGGGTCACGTGCTCTACTAACTGAGCCAGCCAGACACCCCTGAAGTGGTTTTTTTTTTGTTTTTTTTTTTTAATTTTTTTTTTTCAACGTTTATTTATTTTTGGGACAGAGAGAGACAGAGCATGAACGGGGGAGGGGCAGAGAGAGAGGGAGACACAGACTCGGAAACAGGCTCCAGGCTCTGAGCCATCAGCCCAGAGCCTGACGCGGGGCTCGAACTCACGGACCGCGAGATCGTGACCTGGCTGAAGTCGGACGCTTAACCGACTGCGCCACCCAGGCGCCCCCCCTGAAGTGGTTTTAAATAAATGTCTGTCGGGGGCCTGGGTGGCTCAGTCAGTTAGGAGTCCATCTCTTGATTTCAGCTCGGGCATGATCTCCTGGTTCATAGGATTGAGCTTTTAATACATTTCAGATCCCAGTTGCTATGCTATTCTACGCTTATTTTCAGACTTAGAATAGAAGAGTTTTATTTTTTTAATTGTATTTTAACTAGTAAGACAAATGTACAGGTGTGTATTTGCTCCTGAAGCTTATAATGTATAAATTAGTATATATTAGATCATGTGATACTTAGTGTGTGCCAGCCATTGTCCTAAATGCATCCCCCAGATTCATTAATTTAATACTCTGCTTAACAATCCCATGAAGTAGGATTTACTGTTGAGGAAATTGAGGCACACACCAGTAAGAGACCCTTCCAAGTATATGTAGCAAGTAACTATCAGGATTTGAATCCAGGTGCTTTAGCTATCGGTTTTTGCTCCTAACCCCCTACGCTGTGCTGCCTCTTCACCACTGCTATACTTAGGCTACCTGGCTGGTTATATCTATAATTTGGTGTTTGATCTTAGGAATATAACTGAATTACCATTTAATTTTATGTAGGAAAAATTATACGTAAGACCTGCTTCACGGTAGTGTTTCTTGGGATGTAATTTACAGGAACACCTTGTGACAAGAAATGGGTGCCATCTATATAGTGCTCAAAAGATTATCTGATAGATTCTAAATATCTATAGCATGCATGTACACGTTAGCAGAAAGCATTATGACTCCCAAGACCTAGTAAATTTTCTCATCAAACACTGAATACCTTGGGCGGTCACCATCAAGAAAGACGTGGAATCAAAATAGAGATAGTTTACGTCCGGAATAGATAAAAGTATACTTGTCTAAGGATGAAAGAGTGATTTGAGTTAGAAAAAATGAATTAGAAAAAATTAGAAAAAAAGGAAAAAAATGTTCCTTATTCAAAGTGAGGACAATAACCTCTGCCTTCCGAGATCATTGCAGAAATGAAATGAAACAACCCAGCCTGAAAGAAGCATACCATGCCTAGCCTGGGATTTGGACAGCGCTCCGAGTCCACGTGTAATTTTAAGCTTAGTGGCTGCGTTGCTGTGCGTGAAACAGTGGGACGGGTTGGGTAAGTGTGGCCAGAAGAGCAAGGCCCAGGAAGGTTACAGAGACTCACGCCCAGATGCGGGCAGTACGGGTAGTGCCAGGATTCTGTTCAGAGGTTTCAATTTGACCAGCAGAGAGGCGCCTGGGTGACTCAGCCGGTTAAGCATCCGACTTCGGCTCAGGTCATGATCTCGCAGTCCGTGGGTTCGAGCCCTGCCTCGGGCTCTGTGCTGACAGCTCAGAGCCTGGAGCCTGCTTCAGATTCTGCGTCTCCCTCTCTCTCCCCTCCCCCGCTCGCACTCTGTCTCTCTCTCAAAAATAAATAACGTTATAAATAAATAAATAAATTTGACCAGCAGAATCAGCAGCTAGATGAGGGCATTGTGACATCTGGTACAGGTAGTTTTCTATGGGGTCAGCGTGAAACAGGCCATGCCTAGGAACTTCTGCCAGGATATCCAGGAGCCTATGACTTAAGTAACCCGCTTGTGGTGGCACAGAGTATGTAGGTGAGTAAAGTGCTGTCCTGTCCCCACCTTCAAGCATCTCCCAGGCCTACAGGGAAGCCCAGGTGTATTGTAAGCAAAAAGGTTAGAAAATGTCAAGTGTCCTAAACGCTGGGGGAGTTTTGAGGAGGGTGAAGGTTGCTCCCAGTTAGGGAATCATGGAAAGCTTTGTGGAGGAGGTGGCATTTGAAGTTTGTCTTATAAAATGGTAAAGACTGGAAATACAGCAGTGAAAGGGAAGGATACTTCCAAAGGAAGGGAACAGCATGAACAACGTCAAAACCGAGATCCCAGGGTGCCTGGCTGGCTCAGTCAGCGGAGCGTGGGACTCTTGATGTAGGGGTCCTGAGTGCCAGACCCATCTTGGCTATGTATAGACATTACTTAAAGATATAGCCTTTAACAAACAAACAACAAAAACGCAAGATCATGATGTGTCCCAGGGCAGCAAGTATGGCAGGACCTGGAGATCAGCTCAGACTATGGAGAAGTTCCTCCCTACAGGCTTGGGGTCATGAAGGGCAGGTTGTACCAAAGAAGGGCACTTTGAGGCACTGCCCCTCAGATCATTGGGATAAAATGGCATTTGAGAATATTTCTTTATCACCTACTGTTCGGGGGGCCTTATTTACTTCCGGTTGAGGGGATCTGCAGCGTGTGGCAAGGCTCCCAAGTGACTAAGTGCCATGAGGGTTGTGATGGGGGAGTTTGAATTGCACAGTGAGTAATCTGGATTATCGCAAGCATAATCCGGTTCATGTTGCAGAACTATTGGTTGTAAAGGGAGAATCTCCATGGAGAAGTCTCAGTCATCAGACCGCTGCCCCCCTATAGCAAGGGGATGGTACTGAGGGCTATTTACTAGCCTTCTGGGATGGAGTGCTGCTCATGAGTCCTGAGGTTAAAGGATAAGAATCAGAAATTGTGTTTTGGATATAAAACAAGGAAAGTAAATCCAGAGCCACCTGCAGTCAGAGTGTAGGGAAGAGGGATGTAGACCAGATTAAGTTGGCTGATGAAATGTTTGGGCTTTTTATGAACAGATGTGACAAGGTGGGCAATCAAGCATGCATTACAGTTTAGGTGTAAATGTAAATTTGGTATAGCCTCATCAGAAGACAATTTTGACAATACGTACTGAAAGTGAAAATCAGGTATCTTTTCACTCCTCTCTCACCGGAATTTATTCTACAGATGTAGGGCACCTGTGCCCACAGAAGCATGTAGAAGGATATTCACTCCTGCCCTTTTTGCAATAGGAAACATTTGGAAATAACTTACATGTCCAAGAGAATACTAGCTAAATAAATAAATACGGTACATCTGTGCAATGGTTTGACACAGCGAGTGGTGTTAAAAAGGGGCACAGGTCAGCATGTATTGATATGGACCAGTCTCCAGAATATAATAGATGAAAACAGAAAGCAAGGTGCAGTGCTATGGTTAGTATAAATAATGGGATATGTTTACATTTGGAATATTTATAGGAGGACGCAAAAGAAGTTAGGAACAGTGGGGGTGCCTGGGTGACTCCGTCAGTTGTGTTCAACTCTTGGTTTTAAGTCAGTGGTTCCTGAACCACTTTATCTTGTAATAGATAAAAGCATGGCTTTAAAAAAAAAAAAAAAAAAATTGTGGTAAAATACACATACCATAAAACTTACCATCTTAACCATTTTTAAGTGTGCAGTTCAGTGATGTTAAGTACGTTCACACCGTGGTGCAACCAATCTCCAGAACTTTTCATCTTGCAAAACTGAAAACTCTGTGCCCATTAAACAACTTCCCTTTCCCCACTTCCCCAGTGCCTGGCAACCACCATTCTACTTTCTGTCCTTGAGTCTGACTGTTCTAGATGCCTCGCATCAGTGAAATAGGATCTCTGGCTTTTTGTGACTGGTTTACTTCCCTTAGCATCATATCTTTAAGGTTCATCCACGTTGTAGCCTCTGTCAGAATGCCCTTTCTGAAGGTCAAATAATATCCCATTGCACGTACATACATTTTTTGTTTATCCATTCTGTTGGTGTCGCACTTGTGTTTCCATGTTTGGCTGTTGCGAGTAATGCTGCCGTTGTAGGGGAGGAGCAAATGAACTTTTCCCTCTACCCTCTGAGGTTCTCTGGCTGGCGCCCTGCACATTGGACTGACACAAAACAGATTAATAGGAGAAGAATGGTTTCTTCATGAGCGTATGTGCACTGGAGAACTCAAAGGGGCGATTGGGACTTGGGCTTGTAGTGCATCGAACAAAAGAACAATAAATCTGATAGAGAAGTGACAAGACAAAGCACCAGGACTATGTGCTTCTATGGGCAGCAAACTGTGGGAAGGTAAATATTTGGAGAGAGTGAGGATAAAGGTTACCTAATAGGGTTTGTTATGTGGAGTCCTCTGGTGCTATTTCTGAGCTAGAGTCTAGAGGTGTCTCTGATGATCAAGAGTTGTCCTGCCCTCCTGTCCTGTAAGGGGGGGGGGGCCGTTTTTCCTTGTGTCCCTTTTTTTTTTTTCCAATTAATTTCAAGTAAAAATAATTTTTTTTTTTTTTTTTTTTTTTTTTAAGTTTTATTTATTTGAGAGAGAGAGAATCCCAAGCAGGCCCCACACTTGATCCCACGGACCATGAGATCATGCCCTGAGCTGAAGTCAAGAGTCAAACGCTTCACCAACTGAGCCACCCAGGCACCCCTCAAAATAATTCTTCTATCAGGGGCGCCTGCTGGCTCAGTCGATGGAGCGTATGACTCTCAAGCATGTGAACTTGGGGTTGTGAGTTCAAGCCCCACGTTGGGTGTAGAGCTTACTCAAATCAACAACAACAAATAATTCTTAATGCGTATTTCATGGTGCATGTTCTGAACCCCTCCGTTGTGGACACGGATGTACAAATATTTCTCCAAGACCCTGCTTTCAACTCTTCCGACGTATGCCCCGAAGTGGAATTACTAGATCATCCAGTAATTCTATTTTTAATATTTTGAGAAACTGCCATGCTGTCACATTCCTACCAGCGGGACACCGGGGTGCCAATTTCTCTGCGTCCTTGCCAACACTTGTTGTTTTCTGGGTGTGGTTTTGGTTGTTAACAGTCGCCGTTCTAACAGGTATGAGGCGGTAACTCATCGTGGTTTTGATTTGAAAGGCACTGCTTTTTTAGTTCCGACTCCCGGTGGCATGCTCTCTCCACCGGGTTACTACAGAAGCCTCCAGACAGCCTCCTGCTTCCACCCTGGCTCCCTGCAGTCCGTTCTCAGTGTAACAGATGGAGCGATCCTGTTAAAAAATCAGAAGAAGACGACAAATCACGTGAGTGTCTTTCAAACCTGCGTCCCTGTGTCTCTCCTCACTGTAGTCCTCCCGACCTCATCTGCGGCTCTCCTGCTCTGTCTTGCTCCTGCAATTCTGTACCTTATTCTTTCTTCCTGAATCTTTTTCTTCCCCCCGCCCCCCTTGGGGTTTGTCCTCAAATGGCACCTCAGCGAAGCCTCCCGTTCTGTGCCCACAATGCCGCTCTCTAATGTCTTTGTCCCTCATTCATTTCCACCCAGAAAACTGTTAACTATCCAACATCCCCTATATTTTACTTCCCTATTAAAAGTTTTTCTAATGTTTATTTTTGAGAGAGAGACAGAGCGTGGAGGGGAGGAGAGGGGCAGAGAGAGAAGGAGACACAGAATCTGAAGCAGGCTTCGGATTCTGAGTTGACGCGGGGCTTGAGCTCACAAACCGTGAGATCGTGACCTGAGCCAAAGTCGG